CCCCCTTTTGAGCTATCTCAGCTGAGAATTTAGATATCACGGAGCAGAGAGAAACAAGCTCTCCTTGCTATGGCTTAATGAAATTCCTGGTCCACAGAATCCTGAGAAATAAAATGGCTATTGTTTATGACCACTATTCTTTGGGGGTAAATTATTCTACAGCAATAGATAGCTGAAACAAGTAGCAAGTAATTTTATAGCATTGTATTAGCCTGGTTTTACACTGCTATAAAGAATACCTGAGACGGGGTAATTTATGAATGAAAGAGGTTTCATTGACTCACAGTTCCAGATGGCTGGGGAGGCCTCAGGAAACTCACAATCATGGCAGAAGGCAATGGGTAAGTAAGACATGTCTCCCCACAGTGGCGAGAGAGTGTGAAGGAGGAACTGCCAAACACTTATGAAACTATTAGATCTCATGAGAACTCACTCACTATCATGAGAACAGCATGGGGGAAAGAGCCACCATGATCCAATCACCTCCCACAAGGTCCCTCCCTTGATACCTGGGGATTATAATTTGAGATGAGATTTGGGTGGGGACATAGAGCCTAATCATTTCCATCATGCTGGTGTATTACTCAAAAATCTTCAGAGAAACAAAACTAATAGAATATACACAAACACACACACAAACTTATAGTGAAGGGATTTATTGTAAAGAATTGGCTCACCGACTATGGAGGCTCAGAAGTTCCACAATCTGCCCTCTCTAAGCTGAAGACTTAGGAAAGTTGGTGTGATTCATCTGTGTCCACAGGCCTGAGAACCAGGGGGCCAATTGTATAAATCCAAGTCTAAGGGCAGGATATACGATGAGATGCACCAGCTCAAGAAATGAAACCAGAAAAAAAAAGGAGTGAGGCAGTTTCCTCCTTCCTCTGCCTTTTGTTCTATTCAGGGTCTCAACAGATTGGATGACACCAGCCCTCCTTGGGGAAGGTAATCTGCTTTACTGGGTCCACCAAGTCAGATGCTAATCTCTTCTAGAAACATTCTCAAAAACCCAGAAATAATTTTTATCTGAGCACCTTGTGATCCAGTCAAGTTGACACATAAAATTTACCATCACAGCTGGTAAGATAGGTCTTGCTTAACTCAAAACTAAAGTGTTGGACACTGCAATCATCATTTAAAATTATGAAAAGATTCATCACAGGTTAATACAAATAATCGTCCCCTCATCTTTATACCATAAGAGCAAATGTCAGTACATTATATGTCTCAGGAAGAGTATATCCTTATATTAATAACCTAACTTTATACCTCTGAAGATGTATAGTACATTGCTGTGATAAAGCCAAGCCAAAAATGCTCCTAGCAAGCTGTCTGAAATCACCCACACACATCCCAAACTGTCGAGCCTAGGTTATCGCCAGGGTTGCTGTGGGGTACTCTGATTCAGTCCAGATCAACCGTAGGAGGAAGTTCTGAAGACTTCTAGAGAACATGCAAGAAACTGGAGCCAATATTTAGAACCATTTCAAGCAGGCCTGTTAGGACTGGGCCTTCCCCAGAGCTGAGCCTGACCTCCAGCTCTGGCCTGGATGTGTCAGTGTCCAGTGGGCTTGATTCAGGTCAGAGCACACCAATCACATCAGAACAGCCACCCCATCCTACTTGAGAAACTCTTCCTAGGGCCTCAAAAGGGACTGTGTTCTCAATAGTCTTTAATTTCAGCACCAGCCCACCATAGCAGCCAACAGAGAGCCATGGGGTCTCTAGTAAACCATCAGCTGGAGCATTGGTTAAATTCTGGGGATAGCCGAGTTCTGTTGCAGCAGAAATAATGGAAAAAGAAACACAAGAATATTTCTCAATAGTACAGTTTATTTACAACAAGAGCTTTTGCCCTTTGGACAAACTAAGTTATACAATAGCAAAAATATGAAATAGGACACATTTCTAACACTTTTATTTGCCATTTCTTTGTTTCCCTTCATCCTTTCTGTTCTCTACCGCCAACTCCTTCACAGCATTAGCTCTACAAAGGCTTGCTCCCATGGTGGCGAGAGAGAGAGCAAAGGCTTTGCCTACATGCTCTAGTTTAGCCTAGTCCAGTAGAAAAATAATGCATACAAGCAGAATATAGAATTTTAGATCTTCTAGTAGCCAAATTAAACTAAAAATGACAGACATAATTCATTTGAACACTGATATGGTTTGGCTCTGTGTCCCCACCCAAATATCATCTTGTAGCTCCCATAATTCCCACAAGTTGTGGGAGGGACCTGGTGGGAGATGATTGAATCAGCGGGCAGATCTTTCCCGTGCTGTTCTCATGAAAGTGAATGGATTTCATGAGGTCTGATGGTTTTAAAAATGAGAGTTTCCCTGCACAAGCCCTCTTCTCTTGTCTGCCACCATGTGAGATGTGCTTTTCGCCTTCCACCATGATTACGAGGCCTCCCCAGCCATGTGGAACTGTAAGTCCATTAAACCTCTTTCTTTTGTAATTTGCTCAGTCTAGGGTATGTCTTTATTAGCAGTGTGGAAATGGACTTATGCAAATACTGTTTATATAACTATGTCCAAAATTTTATCACTTCAACATCTAATCAATATAAAAATATTTAATAAAATATGTCACATATTTTGGGTTGTTGTTATAGAATCCAATGTGTGTTTTACACCCACATACAGCACATCTCAATTCAAACTAGGACACATGCCAAGTCTTCAGTTGCCATATGTAACCATGACTACCATTTTGGACAGCACCTGTCTACTTAATTGTAACTTCTCTATCTAGTCTTCCGTTTCTTGAATGATTAGCTACTCTGTCCAATGAATTAATCCAACAATGAAATAGATTCACCTTCAATGCAATATATTGGCATTAACAGGGATATAGAATGCCTTGATAAAAATTTCCAGAAGTATGGCAATCCATCAAATACCCCCAGCATTGTTCGAATCACACAGACGGCCTCCTATGCCTTCAGATGATATCATTGTGAAGGTAAAAATAAAAAACCTGAGGAAAAAAAAACACTACAGAGCAGAGAACTGATCCTAATTTGGCTTAAAGTTAAGGTAATTTCCATTTCTAGGAGAATTTTTAGAGCAATAGGTAAATACATCCCTGAGAAAAAAGGATGACAACCTTTCTGGGTCATCACAATGATGTACATTCTCACTTTTCTGAAAACTTATCTTGGCAGGGAAAAAAAAATCCTTAGGAAATTCTCCAGAGCAAAATGGTAATCAGCTGTTAAAAGCATAAATTAAAGAAGTCAAACTGAAAAGTATGGAAGGTGTCATATGGTTGTGAAAAGAGCATGGATTCCAGAATCAGACAGACCTGAATTCACAGCGTGAGCCATACAAAGATATCATATGGTTGTGAAAAGAGCACAGATTCTGGAATCAGACGGGCTTGGATTTATGCTGTGAACTTCAGCAGATGCCTCCTTGGTACCAGATTCCAAGGGGAATTAGGAGGAATTGTGGGGAATGCCATTTCACTTGAAACATTACAGGCATTTAAATGTGCCTGATACTATATGGGACCCTGAGTAGACAATATGTATTTACCTCCATATTGTTTTAGAGTGAACATCAATAATCTTTCTGATATAAATAGCTGCTGAATTGGTCTGTGAAAACCTCAAGAATGAGACAAGTAAGCCATAGTGCATTGTCTGCCCATTAAAGCCAAAATGCTGTCCTCCAGGCACCTGTCCAGCCAGTTGCTGTACATTGCAGGCACACATCTTCCTGCAAGGCATCCTGGGAAAGTCAGCTTCAGAAAGGTCAGCTCACTCGGGAGCAAACAAGCTCTCACGAACTATGGGTATCTTCTCAGTCATAAACCCAGTTCTAGGAAACGATATTTACCGGTTACAATATCGCTGGAGTGCTTAGGTGGGTCTCCAGATGCCAGTGAGACCCCAGTCCAGCCAGTGTTACAGGTTCTTGATATCATCACAAGACAGAACTCAGAGATGAGTCAGAATGAAGTGAAAGGCAAGAAGCTCTTATTGCAAAGTGAAAGTACCCACTCGAGTAGGAGTGTGAGTGAACTTGGGAGAGTGACTCGTACACAGTGGAGTTTGGGTTTCTAATTTAATGAGCTCTTCTAATTAAAAGATGGAACCATGAGGGCTTCTAGGAAAAGGTGGAAATCTCTTAGAATTTGAGTGTCACTCATTTTTCTGATAAATATGGGCATGATCGGATCTGTCATGGCACTGGTGGGTGAGTGATTCAGGAGAATAATGAGTGTATAATTAGGTCTGGGGTAGGACATGGGTCAAATTCAGTGTCAGACTTAGCTGGTTTCAATCATCTTAGCCCCCATCCTGTTAGCTAGAGTCTTATCAGCCCAGGCTCATCTTTGTCCTTGTAGCTAATTTTAACACCTCCTTTCTTGCTGTTGGTGATATTGGTGCTTGATATTTTCCTGCTTCTCCTGTAACGACCCAGCATTCCTATTTTATGGGCGTTTTCTTAAATTAGGGGGTGAAATAATCATTAAATATCCTGGAAAAGGAGAGCATTTCAGGGACCCCTGGTTACTAACCCAAACTTTCTCTCTTATTTATTTCTCTCTTATCTCTCTTATTATTTGGCTTTGCCTAGAAGAGTCATGGACATGTCACTGTGACCGGGGTTTTGGCCATTTTTCTTATTTTGAGTTTTCTGTTATCCTGTAGTTTATTTGCCTAGTTCTTATTTTAGCTGTTGTTTAGGTTTTTCCATGTTTCTGTCACCTCCCAGGGCTATGCTCCTATCAGCAGAACACAGCCAACAAATCATTAGTTTGCTAATAACACAAGTTATAGCAATGTAGTCCACGGATTGACTACTTCTTAGTCAAGTGTCCACCCCTCATCCAATCAGCTGTGGCCTTAGTCAGGTGTCCACCCCTCATCCAATCAGCTGTGGCCTTAGTCAAGTGTCCACCCCTCATCCAATCAGCTGTGGGCTTAGTCAGGTGTCCACCCCTCATCCAATCGGCTGTGGCCTTGCTGAAGGTGGCATTTGGAAGTCAGCTACCTACTCCGCAGGATGTGTGGGCAAGAAATTCATCCTGAAAGTGATGTGGACAGACGGTCCTCTGAACTATGGTTAGTACAGTTATGTGTCATTTAATGACAGCGATACATTCTGTGCAATGTGTCATTAGGTGATTTTGTCATCTTTCAAACATCATGGAGTATACTTACACAAGCCTAGATGGCATCGCCTTCAACACACCTAGGCTATATGTTATAGCCTATTGCTCCTGGGCTACAAAACTGTATGGCATGTTACTGTAGTGAATACTATAGGCAATTGTAACACAGTGGTATTTTTGTGCAAATAAATATATTGAAACAGAAAAGGTACAGTAACAGTATAAAAAATTTAAAAAGGGCACACCTGTATAAGGCAGTTACCATGAATAGAGCTTGCAGGACTGGAAGTTGCTCTGGGTGAGTCAGTGAGTGACTAGCAGTGACTGAATGTGAAGACCTAGAACACTGCTGTATACTACTGTAGACTAAACATCATACACTTAGGCTACACTAAAATTTTTAAAACCTTTTTCTTCAATAATAAATTAATCTTAGCTTACAATAACTTTTTTACGTTGTAAACTTTTAAATGTTTTACAACTTTTCAACTCTTATCACAATACAACTTAAAACACAAACACAGCTGGGCATGGTGGCGCACTCCTGAAATCCCAGCACTTTGGGAGGCCAAAGTGGGCGGATCACCCGAGGTCAAGAGTTCGAGACCAGCCTGGTCATCATGGCGAAACCCCATCTCTACTAAAAATACAAAATTAGCCGGGCTTGGTGGCACATGCCTATAATCCCACCTACTGGGGAGGCTGAGGCAGGAGCATCACTTGAACCTGGGAGGCAGAGGTTGCAGTGAGCCGAGATTGCACCACTGCACTCCAGCCTGGGCGTCAAGAGCAAAACTCCGTCTCAAAAAAAAAAAAAAAAAATACATTGCAGAGCTGTACAAAAATATTTTCTTTATATCCCTATTAAGTTTTTTTCTCTTTTTAAGAATTTTTGTTTTGTTTTTTACTTTTTGAAATTTTTGTGAAAACCTAAGACACAAACACACGCATTAGCCTAGGCCAACAAGGGCTCAGGATCAGTATCACTGTCTTCCATCACCGCATCTGGTTCCACTGGAAGGTCTTCAGGAAAAGTAACACACATGGAGATGTCATCTATGATAACAATGCCTTCCTCTGAATACCTCCTGCAGGACCTGCCTGAGGCCGTTTTACAGTTAATATTTTAATAAGTGGAAGGCATATACTCTAAAATAACTCTTAAAAATTGTGTACATAAACCAGTAACACAGTTTATCATCATTATCAAGTATTATGAACTGTACATAATTGTACGTGCTATGCTTTCACACAACTGGCAGTATAGTAGGTTTGTTTACACCAGCATCACTACAAACACTTTGGCTGCATCACTAGAGGATGGGAATGTTTCAGCTCCGCTATGATCTCATGGGACCACTCTCACATACGCGGCCCGTCACTGACAGAAACGTCATCATGCAGCAGAAAGCTGTATGTTGCATTTCACAGATAAGGAAACTGAGGCTCAGAGAGGATAAGCAACTTGCCCAGCTCACTCCCCAAGTTCAGGGACTGTATCTGGTTGCTGTTACCTAGTCGTAGTACTCACAGCACTGCCTGTATTATTGAAGAGTGCTATATTGAAGAGTGTTATTTGTTGAATAATTACAGGGACAAAGGACTCCAAAACTGTGGTCTCTATACCTGTTGTTCTCAACCTTGGCTGTGCATTAACATCACCTGGGAGGGCTTTTAAACTCCCAGTCTTCAGGCAACACCCCCAGGCCAAGTAAATTAACGTCTCTGCTCCTCACATGATTCTAATACGCGCCAAAATTGGAGATCTCTGGTCTAAAGAAGCACTTTTCAGCTTTCAGTTTGAACTAAAACAGCTGGAGAACTTGTTAAAATGCAGATTCTGACTCAATGAGTCTTGAATGGGCCCAAGAGTCTGCATTTCTAAAAACTTTCTGGTTGCCTCTGAACTGCCTTTACGATACTGCAATTGTTATTTTCAGGAGGGCTCTTTCCCCCACAGCTATGATGAAGATGCATTTCATAATGTGTTCACAGGAGAGGTGGTGGTGCTTAGTAATTAGGAGCATAGAGACTAGGTGAGCTATTCTGGCTTGGAAACCTGCTACTGCCACATAATAGCTATTAATATAAAGTCTGAACAATTTTCTAAACTGCCCTGTGCCTCAGTTTTCTTATATGTAAATCAGATATAAAAGAGTACCTATAAATAAGTACTTATAGATATTAAATGTGTAGACACATGCAAAAGACAGAACAGTGCCAGACATGTTGTAAGTGCTCAGTAAGAGTGAGTTCATTGTTGTTATTCACTGAGTATTTCTGATCTTTCTTAAGCTAGAAAGGTCAAGCGCTCTGGAGCTTGACCACCTGGGTTCAAATGCCACCTTCACTCACGTTAACAGTGTGGTTTGGGCAACCGACTTTACCCCTCTGCACCTGTTTCTTCAATGTGCAAATGGAAATAAGAAGATCACCTGCCTCTTAGGGTGTTCTAAGGATAAATTATATGCAATGCACTTAGAATACGGCCAGACTAAAAGGTAAATGGGCCACAAATGTTTATGATTGTTGTCATTATCGTTATTACCACCACGTGCCAGGCACTGGGGATGCAGAGGTAAATCAGAAGCTTCAAGCGTAGCCCTTGTTGGAACTGAAAAGAAATCGCAGATGTAAAACCTTTGATTTAATGAGGTTTTACAGTGTCCAGTCATCCTTGAAGAGCAAGCAGAAAAAAGGAAATTCTGTCAGTTGATATCTCCTGTATCTAGAGTCATTCTCTTGGTTTACAGCAGTTATTTTTACTCTTTGCTTTAGGACTCTCATTTGCTTAAAACTGATGGCTTGAAAAGGGAAATTCATCTGGATTCCCTCACCAAGCTGACAGTCCACTGCCACTGTTATTACAATGATTTATCACTACTCTTTCCACGTGGATGGTGACAGGCAAAGGAAGGGGTTTGCCATCTTACATCCCGACTTTGATAGACACATTCCCCGAAAAAGCAGCTTGTATCTTCCAATCTCACATCATAAGAGCTATAATCCCTGGTCCAGCTAAACCAAAACCTCCCCAAGACACATCAGATAATGATTAAACTACTGTTTATATAAGTAATTGCCAGGTACGCTACATGAAAAGAATTAAATTTATCAGTCACCAAATAGTAATTATTAATATGGATTTGTGTGTTTCCTGAATAGCAGCATATTTGTTGTAGAGATTCAGCAAACACCCAGTTTCTGGGAATGTGTGCTTTCTACTCAGCATGCTGTATGTCTCTCCCTCAGATTCAGGAATGCTGAGAAAAGAACTCTGTGAGTAGAGATTCATGCAAAGGAAAATCATGAAGTATATGTTGTTATTCTTTGTATGAGTTAATACACACACACATTCACTCTGTAAGCTGGCAAAAATAATGACCCAAAAAGGGAGTCGAAAATATTATGTGTAAGTTGGAGTTTGAGACCCTGATTCGGACAGGAGAGGGAAATACCGGGTAGAAGAGGGCGGTTCCCTAGCAAAGGCCCCACGCTCAAGCCTGGAGACCCGTGGGCCTAAGTGGGAATAGACATTTCCGTTTTCGCACCCAAGAAGTTGCCTTTTGGCCCACCATGCCCCCCTATCCTGTACCCATATAAACTCCAAACCCCAGGCTCCAGAAGCAGACAGGCAGGTGAGAAGACGAGGAGAAAAACAGACGAACAGAACGGAAGAACGCGGCAGAGAGAGAGGAGGAGGAACATCTGAACGCCAAGAGGAGTTTGGCTGGGGGCAGCTGGAGAGGGGTTCAGCCACTGGACAGCCAGGCTCCAGGGGAAGATCCTCTTCCCACTCTACCCTTCCTTCCGGCTCTTCATCCATCCCACTGAGAGTCACTTCCACCACTCAATAGAAACCTCCACATTCATCCTTCAGGCCCCTGTGTGAACTGAGTCTTCCAGGATGCTAGGAAAGAGCTCAGAATACAGAAAGCTGTTACGCTGACCCACTGCCCTTGCAAAAAGGAAGACAGTCCATTGAGCAATCTGCAGACGGCAAAGCTAAAAGAGCATTATAATACTGGAGCAGCAGACATCCATCCTTAGACACTACTGTGGGGCCGGAGCCCAAAGCCCTCACCCCGGCTCCTGCACCGTCCCATCTTTGCGCTCTCCCTCTTCTGAGAGGTTTGAGCAGCAGCAGCAACCAACCAGGTGAGCTACACCCCTGTCTCACATCCTGCAAGGGGGATCAGGGAACTCTCCGATTTCAATACTTTCTGTATTTGTTTCTTAGGGCTACCATAACAAATTGTCACAATTTGGTAGCTTAAAGCAACAGAAATTGGTTTTCTTGCAATTCTGGAGGTGAGGTATTCAAAATCAAAGCGTGGCAGGGCCAAGCTCCTTCTGAAAGCCCTAGGAGGGAATCTGGACCCTGCCTCTTCTGCTTCCCATGGGTCCAGGCATTCCTTGGCTCCTGGTTGCATCATTCCAATCTCTGCCTCAGTCTTCTCATCTTCTCTCTGTGTCTCTTTTGTGTGCCTCTCATAAAAACACCTGTGTTCAACAAATTTTATGGGAGGCCATTAGTTTGGATTAACCACCTGCCTGAGGCCCCAGCATCAGACCCAAGGAGAATGGAGTCACTTGTGCTAAGTGCCACATAATTAAACTGAACTTTGAAATGGGTCAGCTTTCAAAAACAGAAAAACAAAACAAAACAAAACCCAGGAGATCCCAGTCAACCTGAGTGTCAGTTTAATTTAAAAGTCCTCTCTGTTTTCACCTGAAAAGGAAAGTAACTTTGAAATAACCGATCTGCATTTTGTCCCCTGATTCTGCTTTCTCCAGACCTTTTCTCGCTCTAAAGCCAAACCCTCTTTTCTCAGCAGCTGAACCCAGCCCAACTCAGCCAAGAGTTACTCTTGCAAAAATGGTTTATTTCTGTGCAGAAGCATATGCGTCATAAAGCTAATGAGCTTAAGCGTCAGGGCCCTGAATAGC